ACAAGACTGCCTCTATTTCTAACGCCACTTGCAAGTAATGATCTGTCACCTACAGTTCTGACCAATCAGCTATAAACTGGGGTTCCCACAACCCCCTCCACTGGTTCCATTAATTTACAAAACAACTCACAGAACTCAGGGAAACACTTTGCTAACACTTACCCATTTATTATAAAGGATGTTACAAAGGACACAGATGAACAGCCATATGGAAGAGATGGAGAGGGCAAAGTATGTGGGAAGGGGCATGAAGCATCCATGGCCTCTCAGGGCTCACCACCCTGTGGGTACCTCCCTATGTTTGTCAGTGCAGAACTTTCCTGAACCCAGTCCATCTGGGGTTTTAATGGAGGCTTCATTATGTAAACACATTAATTAAATCACTGGCTACTGGTTAATTGACTCAGCCTTGAGCCCCTTCTGTTCTCCCAAGAGTTGAGAGTGGGCCTGAAAGTTCCAACCCTCTAATCACATGGTTGGTTCCCCTGGCAACCAGCCTCCACCCCTTAGGCTACCCAGGAGCTCACCAGTTGTCTCATTAGAACAAAAGATGCTCCAATCACATAGGAAATTACAAAGACCTTAGGAACTCTGTCTCAAGAGCTGGGGACAGAAATCTATATGTATACACTTCTTATATCACATTATGATTTGTTTGTATTTCCCTACTATATATCTGTCCATGTCAGTGTCTCCAGTACTGGTACAATGCCAGGCACAGAGTGGGTGTTCCCCTCCCCCAAATTGTTGAACACTAATTGAATAGATAAGTAAATTTAATATAAAAGTTTATATTTATTCTGATTTTTATTTATTCTTAAGCAATAGAGCAAAAATTCTGTGATTTCTGCACATAGTGCAATTTTCCTCAAGTGTTCATCTTCAGGACAATTAAAGTTGGAATGTTCTATCCAAAAATAAATCCTTTAAGGATTCAATATGGTATTTATTCAACAAGTATTTCACTTCCAAGATTAGGCTATAGAAACCAACAAAAACAGATATTGTCCTTACTATATACCAGGTTCTGTTTTAGGCATTATACAAGGAAGGACAAAAGTTCTGCCCTTGAAGACATCACAGAGAAATGAAGAGCCATACAAACAATAATCCCATTCATTGGGTAGATGTCGGGCTAGCTGTCTGTATAGTGCACTACAGTAGTGACAGGACAGTCTCTTAATTTTCCTACAGGGCCTGACCAAAGCTTCCCCACTAAGGCAATCACATTTTCATTAGGTCTGAATAATAGAAATCATTTGTTCTTCTTTAAAGTCTGCTTCATTAAACCTATCATCTAAAAGACTTTCCTTAACTCGATACACTTATTTCATTTGACACTGAGTAACTACTGTGTAACTTTACACTGGTATTGGCTTAGGATGCAACCAAGAGTAAGACAAGTAAGACATCCCATAACCAAATAATAATAATAATATGTAATTATTTGTGATAAGAGCTAGAAACAAGAAACACAAGGTAAGAAATTCATGTATAACTAGAATACCTAACCTAGTCTGCAAAACCAGGGAAAGCTCCCTCAGGGAAATACTACTTCATTTATCCAATCATGTGTGAATTTATCCCCATCTGTTCACTGAGATGAAAAACGGTAGTGTAGTACCATCATATATATTAGGGACAAACAAAGCCCTTGGCACCTTATTTTAGCAGAGATAGGTCTTATGTGAAAAGAGAGAGGGCTGAGTTCCAGAAGCTATTCAAATATTTTTATGTGGTGGAGCATCAATGCATTGTTAATTCCAAGGGATATGAGGCACAGAATATTTATAACTCTGTACAACCATAGACACCTCCTCCCAAGGTGATCCGTGCTGGGTCATTGTTTGCCTGTATGACTCAATTCTATTTTTCCCACCTACTTTCCACCCCAGTTCTTACTTGTTTGGCTCCCTCTGTACCAGTGCCAAGCCATTATCCCACCTGCAACCCACCTAGGCCTTGCTTCTGTCTTGTACCTCACTGGCCCTTCCTTGTGGATATCTCTGATTCAGCCGATAACACCATGGTACCATGTGTTATTCCACACATCTGTCCTATCTCTGCCGAGGCTGATGCTGAACCCCAGGATGTCTTGTGACGTTTAAAGTGTGACAGAGCTGTAAAGCAAGATCTTTATATCTAAAAGCTAAAGACCATTTTGTTCAGTTAAAAAAAAATTTGGCCAAGATGTAGTCATAGTAAATTTATAGCTAGACTAAATATAATTACTAAAGTTTTAAAAACACCATTCTGTCAAAATAAAGTAGCTTATGACTGTTACAATCATCTTAGCCTATATATTGAGTTACTTTTCTATTTTCATTGGTTTGTCTGGGTTTTTTTCTCCCTTCCCCATTTGTTCTCTAATGTCAATTTAAACCAGCACTGTCCATTTCAAGGTGACATCATCCAGATTTAGGACATCTCCAGGGAGGTTGGTCATGAATTAAGGAGAACTCCAAAAGCCTTGCTGAGCTACCGAGATGCCAAGGGCCTTGTTGCCTGTAAGAGCAAGAATCTTTTAAGCCACATAAAATGTTAAGTCTACTTTTCTTCCCTTTTAAATTCAAATTAAAGTTCTTTTTTAAAAAAGGGAAGGAACCAATCACATTTCAGATTCTAGACAAGGGTAGGAGCAAAAATACCAATATTAATGGCCCTCAACTGGAGGAACTCAATGGTTTTAAGGTAGATTGAGATTTTCCATGTCATGGGATAAGAGACATGATAGATATCTGGATCAAGTGCTCTTGGCAGAGGAGGCAAAAGGCCCTCCTGTAAATAAAGATGGCATCTTTTACATATATAACAAGCAGCAGAGTCTTCTAGCCATGAGATCCATTTGGCATTAGAGATGAAAACTGACTTTCCTAGAGGAGAGAAATCTCCTTCTACCCAGGAGCCTTGGCTTCTTAGCACTTTGTCCTTGGAATGTGTATAAAACCTAATCTGATTTTATAAAATCTTTGTGTGTGTTCTTCAGTAGATTATATACTCATGGAGGTTATAAGTCTTTTATTCATCTCGGAATCTGCCTCCCCAGTGATATTACAAAGTGCTTTGTAATAATAGTAGTAATAATGATGATGACAATGTTAATGCAATGCAGTTGTAATTGTTTTCACAACTTTACCCTCTTAATGTAGTACATAGTATAGTGCTGTTCTAAGCAATTCATGCACATGCATATATGTGTATATATTTATTAAACCTATAAATAGACACTGTTATCCTGTTTATACAGATGACATAACTGAGGCACAGAAAGGTTAATTTGTTCAAGGTCATCACAAGTAATAAATCACAAACCCCAGCTTCGAGGCCAAGAAACCCTGGCCTCAGAGTTCTTCCTCTTAACCACTGTATTTGTCCATAGTAATGACTTAATAAAAATATTTCTTCAATTTTTACTTAATATTGAGGACAGAGAAAACAAAGCATGTTAAATTCAGTATGTTTTAAATGCTCAAAGATTCATATGCTCTTAAAGTTTGAGGTAGAACAGTGTAGTCGAAATAGAACTATAGGCCACATTTTAGAGATGTTTCAGATATTATGTGACTTTGTGTGTCTAAGCTCCTGAAACCCATAAAGGAAGGAACAACATGACAAGTGATTCCAGTTTTGAAATTTTATACTTTTTAATTTCTGTTACCCATGTGCTTTTTGTTATGCCCTCATCTTTATCTGTCTAAACAGATATTCCAGCATGACAGGAAAAACATAATGTATGGGAATTAACACATTGATAAATTTTCTCTAAAATCACAGGTCATCTGTGAGATCACATTCTTCTGCGGAAATGTTAAAATTAGGGTTAGGGAAATCAAAATGGCGTGTGAATAGTGGGTATCCAGTTGACGTGTATACTAATTCCAGTGCCCCCATGCGCCATTCATATGTTTTAGAAGGTAAATTACCTAAGCTTGCTGAACTTTCACTCCTCAACGGTAAAACTAGGATAATTATGTTTACAGGAGGGATCTTGTGAGCATGAAAATATTATACTGAAGTCCCTAACACCAGGTATTCAATAGATGACGATAATTAACCTTTTACTCTTCCTTGAGGAGTCTCAGGTTTCAGTTGTGGCAGTGCCAGTGTTCACAAAAACTTGTCTCCTGCCAATTTCTTGTTTTAAATGAGAATACAATGTGCTAGGTGCTATAGGGTAAAAAAGAATTATTAAGATGTAGTCCTTGCTATTAGGGAACTTCAAATCTACATAAGGGCATTATGATTTAAAGGGCAACATGTATATTTATTAGTTTAAGTTAACAAGAGATAGATATGTAGTATAATAAAGAAGGGATAGTCGACCAGTTCAGGGTAGGAGAAATATATCTGAGGCAAATATGATCAAATAAGAATTTAGAATGTAAATAATCATAATGCCACATAATAAAGTAATGCAGTTAAGTAAAGTCCTCACTTAATGTTGTGGATAGGTTATTTGGAAACTGCAAGTTTAAGCAAAACAACATGCTATATAACAAAACCAATTGTACCATAGACTAAGTGATATAAACAAGAGTTAAATTCTTACAGCATGCAGTATGTCATTTTACTTCTAGTTCCAGTTTTCAAGAACCTACTGATGTTAAGTGAGATCTTACTGTAACCTCTTGTGATGTGTGTATATAACGCCTTCTTGGGCACACTGGCTGTCTGAATCATTCCTCATCATTGCAACTCAGAAAGTTAAAAAAGAATTCAATACCAGCATGAACCTTGTCATAAATTCTGTTACAATTTATTATTTCAACTTGTTTCCATGTGACCTTAGAATTTAGCATTATAAACTGAAACTGTCTGAAATGATTATCACTTTCTCTAATTCTTTTGAAATATTAAATACAAACTACTATCTAATTCACCATCTCTCCAATGTATCTTTTAAAAGGATTGTGGGTCCTCAACATTTTGTTTTTAAAGCCATGGGTCCCTCTTATCAAACAGATCTCCAACTTGACGTTTCTTAAAAATTCCTTCCCTAGATTTTTATTGGTGAGATATCCATGTATTTCATAAAATCAACAAGAGAATCCCTGATTGCTCAGGAGAAAACAATTCTGACCGGAGAATGCTGTTACCTGAACCCCTTACTTCGAAGGATCATAAGGTTCACAGGTGAGTACAAGACCTTGCTGAATTAAGCTCTCACACATAGGTAAAATTACTAAAGGCAAACACTTAATAAAATAAACTATGTATCAACATTAAAAGCAAGGGCTGCTTTGGGAATTTTCTACGAAGTGCAGAAATTGAGCCTGATCCTACTGCCACATCAAACTTTTGACCCTTGAAGTGGTACTTCTTAAATTGTCTTATGAATGATTTCAACTGATTTTCCCCCCACACGGCAGTTATCCAAGATTTCACTGGACATAGGTTTTTTAAATATTGGCTGGATATTGCGATATACCTTTTAGCAGAGTCAGACAAAAGGTTGGGTTTGTGGGAGGGCAACAGGGGATACCAATAAAATAAATTTAGAAATAAACTTCCTGACAGAGATTTCCAATCCAGTAATTTTTTTATGCAGGGAATTTAACAAAGAGTTGGAAATCTTATCCATCAGATTCTTGAAAATAATGTCTTTCCAAAGTTGGAAAACAAATGCTTTTATTAGTTTTCATGACAGGGAATAATGAAGGCATGTTCTACATTCCTCCTCCTGGGACTTTTATGAAAACTCCTGAGGTGCTAGTGATTAATGATTGTAGATAGGGGAATAAATGTGTATGGGTACAGGTAGCAGTAGAGATCTTACAAAGTTCCTACACATTAAGTACTCCATAAATGATAACTATTATGGTGTTCTAGTAAGATCCTACAAATACCTATTGACCAAATTGTTAAGGGAGCCATGATACCATTTAGAACAAGAGAACTGACAACTGAGAAAGTGAGGGTCAGAATACAGCATGCTCTTAACAAGCCTTTTGGTAATCCTTAATCTTTTCTTCCTGTTGTAGGAAAGGGTTGAATTTCTTCAACTTATAAGCAAATGATCACATCAAAATCAAATATGCAATAACTTATCTGGTTGGAGTCGATATGAAAGAAATAGTACAGCGGGAAACCTAAGAAAATCTAATTTAAAAGAAGTAGCTCTTAACATTAAAACTGTCTCAGGCATGTGATGGTATTTGCAGAATAAAAGTTTTTGCAGACTATGGAAGTTTGCAATTGGTTTATCAGGTTTACCCTGATCGATATGATGCCACCACTGTTTACTTCACTCATTCCAAACAATGGTTCCTTCCAAAGATGTCCAGAGTTTGATCACTTCCCAGAGGGGCAAGATAAGAGATCATCAAAGGGAAATGAGGAGAGAAGAGAATATTTATTACACAGAGCTAGACATTTTACATAAATTATTTCATTTAATCTACCCAAAACTCTGTAAGGTATTTTATGTTTTAGACAAAGTATTGCCCTGTCCTCAGGCTGGAGTACAGTGACACAATCTCAGCTCACTGCAACTTCTGCCTACCAGGTTCAAGCAGTTCTTTCTCAACCTTCTGAGTAGCTGGGATTACAGATACCTGCCACAAGGCCGGCTAATTTTTGTATTTTCAGTAGAGAACGTGGTTTCACCATGTTGACCAGGCTGGTCTTGAACGCCTGACCTCACTTGATCCACCTTCTCAGCCTCCCAAACTGCTGGGATTACATGCATGAGCCACTGTGCCCAGCCCCTGGAAGGTATTTTATAGCCCTAGTTGTACATATGAAGAATCTTGACAGGAAATGGGATAGAGTAACTTTTCCAAAGAAGTAATGCATGCACACACACATACATAATTTGATTCAGGCAAGAATTTATGACCACTGTCCAATCTGCTTCCTGTACTTGTAATTAAAGCAAGTTATTTAAAGTAGAGATTTATTACAATTAAATTGGAACACCTTTAAAAGTCACCATTATTTCCTTAGGCAAACAAAAATTATACCTTTTGTGACCCACACACCTGGAGCAGGGTCCAAGGAATAGAAATTTTGACTGGCACTTGTCATTTATATAGACCTGTATGCATTGATAGCACAAGTTTCTGTTCATTGAGGGATGCCACAAGAGCCCTATCATCCAGGAACCAGTCCTCCAGATTGTATGTTGTGTCTGAAACTCCCACGTGAGACACCGCATCAGAGTGAGGCATGGTTCAGGAAGACGACTGTTAAAGTAGAAATTTGTATCACTTCTCGGCCTTTTGGCTAAGATCAAGTGTAAAGTAGAAATTTGTCACCCTGGAGGAGCATCAAATTCTCATTTATAATCAACGACACATCAGTCCATTTGGGTCTATTATAAGCTAATGGAGATCTAGACCTTGGGAGGATAAGTCAGAGACATTCAAATAAGGGGAGTTAGAGTTCAGCATCATAAGATTCTCCTGCTAAGGAAGGGATGTTAGAGCAGAGAGACAGTCCACAGGTAACATGTAACCTTTGGAGTATTAGAGGAAACAGCATTGAAAGGCAAGGAGGATTGCTGGGTTTAGAGAAAAAAAAAAGCACTTGCTTCACGATTTCCCTCTTTTGTTTTTTATGACACTAGGACCCATCCAGTTGCTCAAGTAAAAAACTTGAGAGACACTTTACATCATTGGAACTTGTTAGAAATGCTAATTCTTAGGCCTCATTCCATACCTACTAAATCAGAAAATATGGGGATCAAGTCTCATTATATGTATTTTCACAAGTCATTCAAGTGATTCTGATGCATCTAAAGTTTGAGAACCGTTGGTTTAGGCAATTAAAAATTCTTGTCTTCCTATATCTTGTTTTGCAGTTTTATTGCATTCACCCCAGCCCCACAAAGCTACCATCTATTGACCATTTTGTAGCTATTGATCTTTTTGAAGAAAAATATGAGCAAGTCAATTCTCTGCTTAAAACCTTTCAATGGATTCCTAGTGTTCTTAACATAGTCTACAGAGCCCTTCACAATCTGAGGTCCTCACACGTCTCCATCCTCACCTGGAGCCACTTCTTCGTGAGGACTTCTCCCATAAGGTTAAAGGGCTTCACATGCCCTCCAAAGGAAAGTGTGATGCCTTGCCTCAGTCCCTGTGCATGTGCTGCACCATCAGCCTAGAATATTCAATTGCCACCCCTTCACTTTAAAAGCTGGCCAAACCCTACTCATCTTCAGAATGCTGTAACATTACCTGTTTACCAATCCCAACAACTAGCTGTATTCCAGGCCTCCACTGAGCCTTGCACCTACATCTGTTATAGGCACTTCTCATATTACTATAATTACTTAAATCTGTTACTCCTATTAATTTGCAATCCCTTGGAGAGCAGAAGTTGTATATTTTTCATTCCGTGTCAACAACATAGTTGTTAGACAAGCAAAGTATCTGGCACACAGGTTTCCAAAAAAATGATTTTTGAGAGGTGACATGGTTTGCCTTTGTATCCCCACCCAAATCTCATCTTGAATTGTACTCCCATAATTCCCATGTGTTATGGGAAGGACTCGATAGGAGATAATTTGAATCATGGGGACAGTTTCCCCCATACTGTTCTCATGGTAGTGAGTAAGTCTCACAAGATCTGATGGTTTTATCAGGAGTTTCTGCTTTTGCGTCTTCCTTTTTTCTCTTTGCCCACTGCCATCCATATAAGATGTGGCTTGCTCCTCCTTGCCTTCTGCCATGATTGTGAGGGTTCCCCAGCCACACGGAACTGTGTGTTCTTTGTTAAACCTCTTTCCTTTGTAAATTGCCCAACCTCGGGCATGTCTTTATCAGCAAGGTGAAAATGGACTGATAGAAGAGGGAACCTCAGAGGAGGGTGAGTGAAGAGCAAAGATAAACTTTGTTAAATCACAGATTTGCCTAAAACTTGCTTCATAAATGCTGATTCTTAAATATTCATTCGCCTTCTGTTTAATTAACTTTATTCCTACTTTCAGCTTAGTCCTAGGAAATTAAAGTAAATAAATAACGTAATTTCTAAGAGAAAGCCAGAGAAGTCTGCTCTGACTTTTCATGAAGGAGGGGTGAAGGAATGGATCTGTTTATCTTGAGAAAGGTAACTTACTCTATGTATATGTGAATTTTTTTTCATAAGAAAGTGTACTACTTAGAATAAAGACTCTTTAAATGGAAATATTTTCTTTGGAAAAAATTAGAGTAAAATAAGGTAGTTATCAAAATATACTAGAAAAACTTATTTTGAAGAGCTTAACAGTCTTTTTTTCCAGCCCCAAAGCTACCAGAGATAGAAATTCCATCTGACCCAGCAATCCCATTACTGGGTGTATATCCAAAGGTTTATAAATTGCTCTATTATAAAGACACATGCACACAAATGTTCATTGTGGCACTGTTTACAATACCAAAGACCTGGAACCAACCCAAATGCCCATCGATGATAGACTGGACAAGGAAAATGTGGCACATATGCACCATGGAATACTATTCACCCATAAAAAACAATGAGTTGATGTCCTTTGTAGGGACATGGATGAATCTGGAAACCATCATTCTCAGCAAACTGACACAAGAACAGAAAATCAAACGCCACATGTTCTCATTCATAGGTGGATGTTGAACAATGAGAACACATGGACACAAGGAGGGGAGCATCACACACTGGGGTCTGTTGGGGACTATGGGAGGGACAGCAGGGGGTAGGGAGGGATAACATGGAGAGAAATGCCAGATATAGGTGATAGGGGAATGGAGGCAGCAAACTACATTGCCATATATGTACCTAAGCAACAATCCTGCCTGATCTGCACATGTACCCCAGAACCTAAAGTACAATAAAAAATATTTAAAGAAAAAAATACTTTATCTTCTTAGAAAAAAAAAAAAGCTACCAAAATACATACTATGCAATTGACATTGGAAAATGACAACTGTTTTAGGCAGCCATTCTAATAAAGCTCAAATGGCATGACTTTTCTCTTTCAATTTATGTAATTATTCTACAATCCACTACAAATAGTATTTTCCAAAAAATATCATCAGCTTGACACTGCAAAAAAGACCAATGAATTGGCAAAATAGTTTTCAAGAAAACAAGGCTTTACGCTGTAAAAGAAGAAAAAACTTGGGATTCTAATACAATTCTGGTGAAAGTAAATTGATATTTAACCCTTTCTGCAT